TAATTATTAAAAGTTGGAATGAAGTCAATAGAATATCCTGATACTTATGATTCATATTAGCTTTTCATATGTTTATATATATACCTAAATGTGAGATTAATAAACGGTATCAGCATTCTGACTCCGCAACGGTCTCATACACTTTCTCCCATAAGCGTGTTAACAATCTTTATCATGGGTAAGCGTCGAGAGTAAATATGATATTTTATAGTTAAACATTAGAAAAGTTGCAATAACTTTTGAACCGTAATTGTTACAGCAATGGGGTGTTGTACTATTTTTTTTAATTATAAGGACCATAAAATATTAATTTTAATCAAAACCAGCTTTTCTCCAAAGATTCAATTTTTTTGTTATTTTATGAGTTTTTATGGGAAACAACATAAGTTAAAATAACTTTTGAACCACAATTTTTACGGTAATGGGATTTGTTTGTTCAGGATTTAAAGGGCTGCAACATACTAAATTTTTTTTTTAAATCATTTTTGAAAAAAATGTGATTTTTCCATTAGTTTATGGGTTTTATGGGAAATCTCCATTAAAAATTAAAATTTACAAAAAAATGAAAAAAACGCCTGGAGATACCATGAATACAAACACACCAAATTTCATCAAAATCGGACTACAGGTTGCAGCGGCACACACACACACACACCAACACACACAGACAGACATCACTTCGAAAACCACTTTTTTGGGTTCAGGGCGACCCAAAATGGATATATCCACTCAAAACTCAAACTCGAAAATTTTGACAAAATCAATACTTTCTCCATACACAATGTATAGGGGGAGAAAGTACAAATTAAAGCTAGATAAATAAAAACATTATACATCTTTTGGGTTTGCTCAAACTTTGAGGCTGCCTTACAGTAAAAATTGAACTGTGATTTTAAATTTAAAAACTTTCCTATTTGTAAAGTTTTTTAGTAGCAGAAACAGAATGATTGTACTTATTGATAGTTTAGTCCATATAATTTATTGTAGTATAATTCAAAACCTGAAAACATGTCTGAATCATTTTAGTTTTTGAGTTAGACAGCCTGTAACATATAAAATTGGAAATTTAAACCTGTTACGATACGCTAAAATTAAATAGGGTGCATCAAAATGAAACAATCTACACTTTATCTATCATTGAAGTAAATCTACTGATTTACAATCAAGGCCCAAGACAGCTTGGCCTTGTTCTGGGAATGTGATATATGGCTTTACCCTGTGTTGTATTTCAATTGGGTAAAGAAGAGATTGAAATTAAAATGTGACAGCACATGCATGTGGATGACTGATTCATTCAATCTGAAAAGTAGAATGAATTGGAATTTCATTTAACAGAGTTTGAAACTTAAATTTAATGGGCCCACACTAGTTTATGAAATGAAATGCTTTATTGTCATTAAAACTAAGTAAAAAGTTCATGACAATCGTCAAAAGAAATACCCCCACCGCAACAAACCTGCAGACTAAGCGAATTTCCATTTGACTGATTGGATTTACACTACTTAAAAATATAACATTTATTCTTGATTTAAATAGAATTAGTTTAAGAAGTACTTAGGTTTGCTGCATCAAGGAGGGTAAAACTGTTTTTTTTGTAAAATGTGAATAGTTAGTAAGAAATAAAAACATTTTCCAAATTTGATCAAAATATGTTCACAAACAAGCAAACTACAACAGTTTACTTATTCTCCATAAGAATAACATGGGAATTTTAAATTTACAATTTTTTGGAATTTTCTCTGTAACCATTAGGCTCATAATAACGCTTCAATATACTAAATTATTTGTTTTTTTAAGCTCTACAAAATGGTTTGGAAAGAAATTGCTAAATTTTATGTTTTTTGGGTAAAAAATGGGAAAACCCTATTTTTACCCCATAAAACCCCCCGTAAACCCCCGTTCCCATGGTCCGATCATGCTGGATCGCGAACTCGTTCGAATAAACGTACGTTTACACGTTTGTACCAAATTTCATCAAAATCGGATCATTTTTGCTCGAGTTATCGTGCTGACGGACACATATATATATATATATATAAATATATAAATATATATATATATATATATATATATATGAATTTGAACGGATGGTGTTTTTGGCCTCTAAGGACCTCAAAACGAAAAAAAAAATCGGTCCCGCGTCCAGGTCTTACCATGAGTACTACGGTAATAGCTTATTCCCTATATGGGAAATTCGCTAAAAGAAAAACAAAACAATCAAGATGGCAACTAAAATAACTAAAACTCTAAACCAAAGTACTCTTCATGTTTATACAGGCAAGCCTGGGTTAGAGTAGTTTTTCAAACATGTTTAAATTTTGAAACACAGAGGTTTTTGATGGATGCAGGCAAGAAATTGTACATTTCAACTAACACCTTGGTACTCAAAACTATTTTGAATGGCTGTATACTTATGCCTTAGTGTAGACAGATTATCTTTAGATCTAGTACAATAGTTGTGAACATCAGATATCTTTTCAAAGTGAGAAATTTTTTCTTTTACATATAACAAAGTTTATTCCCACATTCTGCTTATTATACAAAACCTTGTGTTATTTTATATTTAAACTACACATGAAATTCTGTTTCTACATTCTAATGAATGATCATATTACTAGGAATGTGTCTGTCCTTCCAGGAGTATGGACTAATAAACTTGATAAGTCTACTAGCTGATAAAATAGTTGAAGGAATACTCATATTACATGTTTTCTTGTTAATTGGCCTTACCATTTTCATATTTTTTCTTATAAGCGAATTTTCCTATAGGGAAGTAGCTATTACCGTACCGTAGGTAGCACAGTAAGACCCAGGCCCGGACAGATTTACTTCTTTCATTTTAATGTCCCCAGAGGCCAAAAACGTTATTCGTAAAAATTATTAGGTATATATATACAATTCCCCCCACCATTTTTTATTTAATTTTTTTTATTTAGGATTACTTTGTTCGTGTATGCGATAACTTAAGTAATTTTTGTCAGATTTGATGAAATTTGGTTTAAAGGTGTAAGGCAGGATAATCATGAATGAGTTAGCGAACCAGCATGATCAGACCATGGGAACGGGGTTTTACGAGGTTTTTATGGGGGTAAAAAATGGTTTTTCTAATTTTTGACCATCAAAACACAAATTTTTTAAAATTCTCTCGTGACCTTTTCAAGGAGCTTAAAAAAACAAATAATTTAGTATATCAAAATGTTTTTGTACGGTTATTGGTAATGGAGAAAATTTTAAAAATGTAAATTTTAAAATTCCATGTTATTCATATGGAGAATATTGTAAAATGTAGTAGTTTGCTTGTTCATGGATATATTTTGATCAGACTTGGAAAATTTATTTACTGCATACTAAGTAACAGTAAATAAAGTTTATACCCTTGCAGCACCTACCTGAACCTTTATGCAATCATGTTCACTACCCTAAGCACACACAATTGATGGACCCCGTGAAAAAACCTTCATGCATTCAATCTAGGGGGTAATGTTTATCTGTCTTAGCTATTAATATTTTACTAAATAACCCACTTTAATAGTTTTCTTGTAGCATCAAACCAAGGTACTCGTTAGTCGTTATACTTAATGTTTTTTAAATAGATTTAATTGAAAATCAATTCAGACAAATGGAAATTCGCTTAGTCTGCAGGTTTCCTGTGGCGGGGGTATTTTGTTATCTTCATAGTCATCTCGTAGTATCAATATAGGTGGTGTAAAAAACAGACAAGTAGATAATAAGTGCATTATTAAACCATTCAATCAAAACGTCCTAATAGGTTTGCAAAGGAAGTAGATTTCAAATAGGTGGTTATATATAAGGTAATTCATTATTATGATAACCCAAAATATGTAAGAAAAAGTAGGCTACATAATTATGGTAGGTACCCAAAATATTGTTTGGGGGATTACCATTTCAGTAAATATTATTTTACACCACACTATGCTATTTTGACGAACTTCCCATGCAAGGATTTAGTCCAGCCAGAAAACAGCTGTTTGCCACCAGCTTAATCAAATGGGGTTTCATTGCGTACTACTGTACTACAATGAGTTTTTTCCCTGGTTTTACCAGACACCAATCAGCTGATTATACTGTATTTGTGTGGCAATGAGTGTTAATAAACAAAAACATAACCTCTCTTAGAAACTAGTGATTTTTAGTTCTTTAGTTGGTGGTCATATATAAAGATTTGTAAATATTTAGTAGTTTGGCGTACGTAACTCGTCCAAAATGTGTTTACCTGACTCGTATGGCAATCCCACACTCGTATAGTAAACACTTATTTTCAGGACTAGTGTAATATACTATTACGGATCGCTAGTGTTGACGACACGAGTACCTAAAAGATTTAAGGTATGAGCCTTGACGAGTGGCTTAAAAACTTCTACGACTATGAGTGTCATTATCACTATTTACGCGAGTTGCATTCACTACTTTACCTACGACAGTGTTTTGATTACTAAAAATCACTGCTCAAAACTTCTAAGAGAGGTTATGTTTACGTTTATAACCTCTCATTGCCACTGATATAGATACAACGAATCATTGTACGAATCACTAATTGCACCGATTGTTAACAATTAAATTGTTAAACAGCTGATTACCACTATTACCATTACCAAATCCTTGATTGTAGCCCATTTCTGGATAATTGCGTAAATTACTTTATCACATTAATTGAAGTTTGAAGCAAAATCCTTGAATTTCATTAGTATTTTACCTGTGTTGTTAGTTGGTCTAAAAAAAAGTGACTCTTTTCAATCCTAAGAACTGAACTGAAACGGCTACTTTATACAAAGGTCGAAGGTAAAAGTATGTATTATTGTACACTATAAGATTTTTTAGGTGTAATCACTTTAGGTAAAAAATATTTCAAACACAATCAAGTAAAGTTTAATTGAGTATCATATTTATAGATTACATCAAGTTATCAAAATATTTCAAATACATAACTAGCGTAAGATCTTAAAAATAAGCATTATAAATCAAGTATCAAGAAACGCTATCATGTTATCCATTGTTGCATCAATATGTGGCAAAAATCAAAATCATGTAGTTAAGAACATAGGAAACCATATTCTCATATTTAACACTTTCAAAAGGGTACTGTCATTTATCACTTAGCTCATCCTTACATTACATATACAGTACTCAATAATCATGGTATCTTATCAACTCTAGATATTTGTCATTTTTTAAAACCATACAATTAAAATTCTTTATAATATTGTCCAAGTTTCCTCTATCATATAACTCTTCAAAATTACAAAATCATTTAGTTTAGGCACTGTAAAGAACACTTTGTCTTTTGTATATTTGTTCAAAGTAAACGTCATATCATAATACTCATTTGCTTTATCTTCGATATTAGTATGGTGAGATTCCTAAACCTCAACATCCAAAGTGAAAGCTAACTTTGCCTCCTAATTGTGCAATATAGTTCCCGTAATGTTTGGTAAAAAGTTACACCATTTTAACGTTGGTTTTGGTGAAAAGGGGGGGGGGGTTAAAGTCGAATTATCTATATTGCACTGCACAGTTTGGGGTCTTTAAAAAGTTATCGTTCACTTTGGATGTTGAGGTTTTGCTAATGAACTGTACCATATAAGATACTCCATGATGACAGCATATCACTAGTTCACAAGTAAAAATTTTAACTACCCCCTTAATAATCTAAAAAAATACATAACATGATGGATTGATCACGTTTTATCTTGATTGAAGAGGCTGGTATTTTACCCAGCTGAGGGATGAAACCCTAAAATGACAAAGCTGCATACACAAAACTTACATTGTACAAGTTTAATGTAGCTTAGGAGATTTTACTTTTTGCATTCAAAAAACTTCAACTTATAATTAAGACATCCTTCATGATCAATAAGATTAAACAAGGCCCTCTGTGGAATTCTCATGCAATTTTCTTCATAACCTGAGTTACTTTCCCCCTTTTTTTCACAACAGTTCACCACAGAAGCCTTCAATGTAGATACATATGAATGATAATTGAACTTATCTCTTTGAATCTTTAATTTAAAAAAATATTCATTCTTCAACTTTCCAATTGGAGTTGCTTCAAAGGTAAACTCAAAATATTTCTGGTTTAAATCATTAGTTTGGGTAATCCAGAATATATTGTCAAACACAGACAAAAGCATATGACCAGCATAGTGTTTTTCAGGATCAAAGTTTTCAATGAAAAACCATTCACTTGAATTTGCTTCGTACTGAAAGACTGAGTTACAATGCTCTTTCTCATAGTGATCCACCAGTTTTATCAAAGGAGTCACAGTGTTGCAATCACTTTCCCTACACTTCGCAGGTCTGAAACCACAAAACTCCTCATGGTCACTCCCTGGCTCCAGAATGTCTAGGCAACCATCTCCATGGTACTTGCACTGACGAGGAAGGGCTTCCAGAAGGTTTTTCAAACAAACAGGATTCTCTATTATAAATGGACCTTCGCAAGTCGGGCAATTCCTTAACTTCTCACAACAGCAGTTACAAACCCCATGGCCTTTGTTGCATGTATTAAATGGAATTTGGATTGTGTCCAGACATACTGGACATTCTACTATCTTTTGTAGAGATGACAAGATGTTCTTCAATCTAGTTTCAGTGTTTTCCTGAAAAGAAAAAAAAATAGTTTCACATCTTATATAGATAACTTATTAAAAGTTTTGGTTTTTCTTTTCCGAGTTTGTTTGGCTACCTGACCTATCTGACTCTATTTTCAGGGGCCTTCTCATCTAGGAACCATCTTCAGCTTAAAGACGGAGCTCATTAATGTTCAATACTAATTAATTTAGATCACACAGACTAGTATTGGACATAGAATTCCTTAAGTAGTTCTTTGTTATTTTTAGTTTGGAAAAAGCACTTTCACTACTTGGAACAGTTACTGGTAATGTAAGAAACATTATGAATGTTTTACATACGTTTGGCACACTTGAATATTGTTTGACACAATATACTTATTCCTAATCAATAGATTATCAGCCAACTGGTTGATTTTGCTTATTTAATTACTTTTGATATCGTCTTTGACTACATTTCTTAAGCGAATTACTTCATTGACCAAACTCAGAGGCTGACTTTGCAAGTTATTTGTCAGAAAACTGTATTAAATTATCTGGGTTTAAAAAACTGAACATGACAGTTTGAACATTATAGCATAGACTTCAACCTTTGAGAAATAAAAATAACAACAGCTCTCAAAAATACATTAAGCAATCCACCGCAACTGACAGAGACGCGTGGTAGTGGTTACTAAAATAATCCTGAAAGATTTTAACTGTCTATCTTTGTAGCTGGCAACGATAAATAAACAAAAGCAATCTTTTTTAACCCTCCGAGTGTTATGTGTCGAAAAATCGACACATAACACACTTTGTGTAGTGTTTTGTGTCGATTTTTTAACTCACAAACACTGTTTACGGCGAAGGCTCTATGACTGACGAAATCGGATTGAACTGGATCGAGTTAGGTATCGTTTTATTTTACAGATTCAGAGCTTTCTCCGGAGGTCTGTCTCTAAGCGCTATTCATTTTAGTTCCGAAAATATTTTAGCAGATAGCTGACGTGCGTATTTGTAAACAGCTTGCTTAACCTTGGACCGATGACTGATGTGTTTTATTACGTTTAACATTGTTTTAGTGTTAAAAATCAAAAGTAGTGATATACGTGGTGCATTCTAAGAAGATTTAAGCGATTTTGAAAGGTTGGTTGATGATCCTGAAGAAGTAGGTAGTGATATTGATGTAAATTATCAGCCAGATTCCTAGCTATGGTTAGGCTATGCATTCTTAGCTAAACGCTATGTACTGAAATCTGTTTTTTGTCCATAACTTATTTATTTGCAAATCTACTTCCTTATATTATTATATATTTGCAATCCTCATAAAATTTAGAACAAAGTGGCTATTTTCAAATATTTATAGGCCTATAATTTATACAATTTCATTGAGCGTGAACTTATTTTTTTTTTTTTTCAAAATATTTTTTGTACCTAAAAAATTTTTTGAAACAAATGTTCCTTATGTTTTATGTATAATATTGAAGCCCATGATTTTCCAAACAAAATGGTACTGTATATAGAACAGTATAATTAACATTGTTTTTAAGCTTCTCAGATCCGTTTTAATAAAACCTTGCAAATGCGCAAAAAATAGGCAAACATTAAGGCCAAAACTAGGGACACTCGGAGGGTTAAAGAACGCAATAAGTACAGATGTTCACCAAGGAATAACGTTAATAGTAAACAAAAGTCACCAAAATTCTTTTGTGACTGTAACAGAACCACGATCATTTTTTTCACATATTTTGCTTCAACATATTTTTTTGAAATTTTCCAGAGTGTCAGTTTTTTTGCACCCCTAAGTTTTTTGCACCAATTGGTCGCATTGGTGTTAGTAACCCCACTGATTCCCTAAATTTTACCTTCCAAATCACCTTCAATACAGGTGATTGTGATAAATCGCTAAGCTAGTATGCAATATTAACATTTTGATTACTTATTTGCCTGTCAACTCTGCAATGTATACTATAATCAAACCAGAGATGATGTAATATCCAGTTGAGACATGCAAGTTATTTCTCTGTGGTATGTCTTATAAAAATTTTGACAGTTCAAGAGTGAAAATGAATATTTTAACAATTCAAGGCAATTGTTACTTTCTTCCCCTATATGGTATATGGAGATTTAAGTATTGTTTTATGTAAATTTGGTAAGCATATTTTACATGGTAGAATGATGGGAGATGGCTCAAATAAAGGTAGTGATCATAGAAAAACTGGAAAAATAATTAAGAAACCATAATGTTAACTGAAATTTAAATACAAAGTTTAATATTTTCTATAACAAAAGCATATAGGCCTAGATAAAAAAAAACTTCTGCTTAGTTGCCATAAAAAAGCATCGTTTTTCAATTATTTTGCTTTTACATTTCCTTTCATTTAAGGTTAGTGTAGTTCTTCCTAATAACATAGATAAAAAGAATTAAACATAGGCTGTCAGCCAAGCTGCGTCCATCTAGGATGATTAGGTTCTGGCGCGCACTGCTGGGAGCGCCTTGTAGTTACATAGCGCGTACGCCGTAACTAAATGGCGCTCCCAGAGGTGTGCGCCAGAACCTATGGTAACCGCAGCACAGCTGACGGTCTGATTCTTTTTGTCTATGCCAATAAATATGTTTTGGCTCTATATATATTTTATGGAATGATTATACTCTGAACCCCGCAAAGGCAGGGAACTGGTCACAGGAATGACAGTATAAAAAGACTTGGAAAAGAAGTCAATGTAGATGGAGATTATTATAACCACTATTGAGAAGAATAGTAATAGACATTACAGACGAGATAAGTGTAAGCCACATAATACAAGATTAATGGATGACAAGAGTGCATACAATGCAGTGCTCTCTCTTTTCACTTACTCATTGATTCTGATCATAATACAAAATTTCGTCATGACAGACCTATTTACCTTTTCAGCCCAGAAGATAAACATTCCTTTTAAACTAAGCTCACAAACATTTAAAAACATACATCAATATAACAGTCAAGAAAGTAACTCTGAAAATTGAAAATGGACCCTATTGTTTTAAAAACTAAAGGGCATTGGTTGCTACAATATATAGTACCGTACAAATAAGCAAAAAATTCCATAAACCTAAAAAAATTAGCACAAGCAGGGAATTTGGTACAGATGTTGGGTGTAGCTTCCAATTGAACATACTTAAAGTTTCCTAAAATTAAAGTTGTGCTACAGCCGCTATATTGGAAAAAGGCGGCATATTGCTGTATTTTTGTTATTAGAGATACAGGAAAAAGCTTAATATATAAAATGTGGTCAATCTAAATAGTTTATAAATAAAAATAATTTTTTTTAAATGTCACGTTTTTAAAAACACTAAAACTATAAAATAATTTATAAATATGTTGAGAGAATAAATACTTGAAATATTTAAAACGAAAAACGTGGGGCGCATGCTAGTTTACAATTAACTTCACGTTTTGATTTACTAGGTGGCGTTTGCAGAGGCATCCACAAAATTGAGCGGAGTCATCAAGGGTTCATATTATATTGTGTTTGTCATACTGCAGTAAAAACAGTCGTTTTTAATGCATGCTTTGCGGGTGTAAAGTACTCTTTAGGGAGTAAAAATCAGCTGTTGTCAACTCAGTTGTAAATTTCAATTGTAAACGATTGCATGTATCGAAAATATGTATCGATTCGTGCTTCATAATTATTTTAACCTACAGTTTTAAGTGAAGACAGCATTTGTGTGGATAATAGGGTAATTAATTTGGCTACACATAGTTTTGAAGTGAAGGGAAGTAAAAACACAGGGATGTCATTTTAGGCCTTATGTTTGCCTTCATTTTTGATTATTATTGATTTATTATTGACCCTTTAGCCTTATTATTGATACTTCAACAAATTTGCAACCCAAATTCACCAAATGCACAAAATATAGTGATTTGAAACGTATGGTATAGTTAAGACTAACCAAAGTTTTATTTGAAAATCCCTATGCATAATTTTTCATGAGCTTCAGAAGAAATGGTTGTGGGCAAAAGAAATAATGAATCAAAACGTAGATTCGTAGTTGACATCAATACAGATTTTCATAGATGTAACTAACGGCTGAATTAATCGCTGGGGCCTTGTTGTAACTCTTTATAAACAATAATAAAAGCTAAATCAGGTAAAGAGTGTATTATTTCATTACGGTAAAGCCCCCCATAGACTATCCAACATGTTGGACGGACATGTCGGGATCCAACGTCTTGTCGAACATGTTGGACCGTGTGTGGGAAACCGTCAAACTGCTCGCCAGACTAGCCACAGTTTCCAGTTAACTTGTATTTAGCGAGTTGTGCGTGATAACCGTCCCATTTTCCATAATGTCATTTAATAATAATAAACAGTTCTGGTCAGAATTTATTTAACTCTACAGAGACCAGAAGGCGTTATGGGATGTCAAAAGTAAAATCTATTGCAACAAACATGCGCATAGGGGCACGATATCCTGATGGAAAAGCGCAAGGAACTGTATCCAGAGTGTGATTTGAAGTTCGTTAAAAATAAAATTGAAAATTTAAGAGCCTAGTTCCATAGGCTCTAAAAATCCCTAAAATCATCGCTAAAAATCCCCCTGAAACAGCTAACAGTCGTTTCAAAATCCATCTCAGAACTAATATTTTACCTGACTTGTTGGGTAACATGCTCGATAGTGTGTGGGAAACACCCGACATAAGTCAGGTTGGATGATGGGTCCGTCGTCAGGTCAGGTTGTCAGGTTGGGTGCAAGCTCGATAGTGTATGGGGGGCTTAACACAAAGAATAGAAACTAAACATAAACAACAATTCACAGAATAAAAATCATATGGTCAGCTACAGTGGCGTAACAGAAGGGCCCACAATGTGGGGGGGGCCGAGAGCTGTGGGGGCCCGCGAACCGGTTAGCGGAAAACGGCAAACAGAGAGGCTTCTTGAGACGAGTGGGGCCAAAAATTGGAGTTCATTCTTATTTAAATGTATTATCAACAAGTAGTTGTCCTAAGATTTAAAAATGTCACCCTATATATAGAAACTAAACTAGGTGGCGTTTGCAGAGGCATCCACAAAATTGAGCAGAGTCATCAAGGGTTCACATTATATTGATTTTGTCATACTGCAGTAAAAACAGTCGTTTTTAATGCATGCTTTGCGGGTCTAAAGTAGCATTTTTACTCTTTAGGTAGTAAAAATTGTTTTTAGCCTCTATGGCACTATGGAGTAAAAATCAGCTGTTCTCAACTCAGTTGTAAATTTCTATTGTAAACGATTGCATGTATCCAAATATGTATCGATTCGTGCTTCGTAATCATTTTAACCTACAGTCTACAGTCTCTTCCCATAGCGTTTTAGCATTGCAGATACATTAATCCATTCCCACACTCAACACTGCTCACCTTTACTACTTCCTTCATCACTTCCTACGTCGTGGGGCCTGTTTCCTTCCCTTCTCATAGCATTTTAGGATTAAAGATACATTAATCTAACTGCCACAGACGGTTCTCACACTACGCTCAAACTTTACTTCCGAAGCCAATTCAGCAATTCAGTATTTTAGATACGTTAATCTAATTGCCACAAACATTCCCCACACTCCGCACTGCTAGCCTTTACTTGTTCTTTCACCATTTTCTATGTCATGGGGATGCTTCCATCCCTTCTCATAGCATTTCAGCATTGCAGATAAATTATTCTAACTGCTACAAACTGTTTCCAGTTCCCACACTCCACACTGCTTACCTTAATACTTCCTTCACCTCTTCTTACGGGTGCGGACCTGTTTCCCTCTCTTCCCATCGAATTTTCAGATTGTAGATACCTTAATCTAATCGTCATAAACAGTTCCCACACACCGAATAGCTCGTATTGACTAATTACTTCACCACTTCCTACTTCTCGGACCTGTTTCCCTCCCTTCCCATATCATTTTAGTATTGCAGATACCTTAATCTAATCGTCACAAACAGTTTCCACAGTCCGAACTACTTGCCTTTACTACTTCCTTCACCACTTCCTACGTCACTGCCTGTTTCCCTCCCTTCCCATAGCATCATAGGATTGCAAATACCTTAATCTATTGGTCATAAACAGATCCCACACTCCAAACAACTCGCCTTTACTACTTCCTTCACCACTTCCTACGTCACGGACCTGTTTTCCTCCCTTCCCATAGAATTTTAAGATTGTAGATACCTTAATCTAATCGTCATAAGCAGTTTCCACACTCCGGACAGCTTGCCTTGACTACTTCCTTCACCACTTCCTACGTCGCGGACCAGTTTTCCTCCCTTCCCATAGCATTTTAGGATTGCAGATACCTTAATCTAATCGTCACAACCAGTTCCCACAGTCCGGACTGCTCGCCTTTACTACTTTCTTCACCACTTCCTACGTCACGGACCGGTTTCCCTCCCTTCCCATAGCATCATAGGATTGCAAATACCTTAATCTATTGGTCATAAACAGATCCCACACTCCGAACAACTCGCCTTTACTACTTCATTCACCACTTCCTACATCACGGACCAATTTTCCTCCTTTCCCATAGCATTTTAGGATTGTAGATACCTTAATCTAATCGTCATAAACAGTTTCCACACTCCGGACAGCTCGCCTTGACTAGTACTTCCTTCACAACTTCCTACGTCGCGGACCTGTTTCCCTCCCTTCCCATAGCATTTTAGGATTGCAGATACCTTAATCTAATCATCACAAACAGTTCCCACAGTCCGGACTGCTTGCCTTTGCTACTTCCTTTACCACTTCCAACGTCACGGACCTGTTTCCCTCCCTCCCATAGCATCATAGGATTGCGAATATACCTTAATCTAATGGTTAAACACAGATCCCATACCCCGAACAGCTCGCCTTTAATATTTCCATCACCATTTCCTACGTCGCGGATCTGTTTGCTTCCCTTCCAATAGCATTTTAGGATTGCAGATACCTTAATCTAATCGTCATAAACAGTTCCCACACACCGGACAGCTTGCCTTGACCACTTCCTTCTCCACTTCCTACTTCGCAGACCTGTTTTCCTCCCTTCCCATAGAATTTCAGTAATCCAGATACCTAAATCTAATCGTCATAAACAGTTTCCACACTCCAGACTCTTCACCTTTACTACTTCCTTCACCACTTCCTACGTCACGGACCTCGTCGTCATTTGATCATATTTATGATCCATACTGTTTCTGTTCTAATATCTGTGGAATAATGCTATCAGGTATTTCTTTATCTACTGCATTCAAAAGTCAACAGCTGATCATATGTCTTTGTTTATGTGTCAAATACTGCTTCCATAAGGATTACATTGAAACTTTGAGACCCAGTGGGACGGATTCCTGAGAGACTTTTTTAACGCCATATAGATGTTGGCACTCACCGATATGGTCTTTATCACCATGCAAAATTTGAAAACGATTGATTCAGCCGTCTAGGAGGAGTTTGCGTATTACGAAATGCATAAGAGTCGACGTATAATAGCTTCGCTCGCTCCGCTCAATAAAGCAAAATACTTGGATCTCTCTGTAATTTAATGGTTTACTGACAACAGTTCAATTAAACGTTAACATCCGCAAAAAACTCTACTAGGAAGAAAAGCCTTTTTTGGTGTAAACATCCCCTAATATTTTTCTATTTTCTTCTTAACAATTAGCTACCCAATCAAATCTAAAGGAAGTCATAAAATGATTTGGAAACAATACCAAAAACCAACGAATGGATTGACCTTATAAAAAAACTCACCGGCTCTGCCATGATGGGCACAGTAGTTGTATTTCTTCCACTAGGCTCTGGATTGTGTAATTCCAGGTTTCCTTGTAAAGGACACCTGAAATCAAAAGATTGTTTGATAGTGGAGGTATCAAGTCAATTTGTAGTAATTCGAAGACCAATAAACCAACAGTCACACAAGTTCAAAGAACATTTCAGATACTAATTTAAGCACTCAAAACGTTCTTTGTAGATGGCTGACTAACCTCATTGCTTGGGAATGAGCGCCAGTGCTTAAATGCTCCAGGCCTGTTGTCGGAAAAAGTGTCTCATTAAAATAAACCTCTATTGTGGCGAAGTAAATAAGCAATATTAATATAGTAGCAGAGTACCCGTCCTTCGTACGGGGTTGGCATAAAAGTATAAAATGCTTATTGAGCGCTGTTATACTCAAGCTTAGCGTTTTCAATGGGGGTGGACGCTAAAAAATCCTACTTTAACAGTTCACATTGCGTATCAGTTTTTGTTGCTGCTTAGTTCAAATTAGCTGTTTTCATAAATGAAAAAAAATAATAGTGCTGCACCCTGTTGGTAAATCTTATAGCTTGTTAATGCTTTTGCATATTATGGAACCCAAGGTAATTTAAAACCTTGCATAGAACCAACTTTTTTACTTGAAACAGCTGACTAAACTCTTTAATTCCCTTTAAATGTGAATACCCGTAAGGTTAACATGGGGGATCACCTCAGCTTCGCTTACTGGGAGGAACAATACTGAGATACTAACGGTCAGGACACCACAGTACAGTGTCACCTCTTTGTATAAGCCTCCCGAATCTCAGTATGTATTTACAGAGCCTGATAATATGTGCTATGATGACATATACTAAATTATTTGTTTTTTTTAAGCTCTACAAAATAATTAAGAAAGAAATTGCAAAATTTTATGTTTTATGGGTCAAAAATGGAAAACCCCATTTTAACCTTTTATTCTTTTCTGTTTTTCATTTTTAGCGAATTTCCCTATAGGGAAGTAGCTATTACCGTAGGTCTCATGGTAAGACTTAGGCCCGGGACCGATTTACTTTTTCATTTTAATGTCCCCAGAGGGCAAAAACACCATTCGTTCAAATTTTTATATATATATATATATATATATATATAGATTTATATATATATATATGTGTCCGTGAACACGATAACTTGAGTAATTTTTATCCGATTTTGATGAAATTTGGTTTGAAGGTGTAAGGCGGGATAAACTTGAATGAGTTCGCGATCCAGCATGATCGGACCATGGGAACAGGGTTTTATGGGGGGTTTTATGGGGTAAAAATTGGTTTTTCTCACTTCTTACCCTCAAAACACAAAATTGCCCAATTTTTCTCTAAACCTTCTTAAAGAGCTTAAAAAAACAAATAATTCAGTATATCAAAGTGTTTTTGTACGGTTATTGGTTACGGAGAAAACTATAAAAAAAATGGTAAATTTAAAATTCCCATGTTATTCTTATGTAGAATATTGTAAAATGTTGTAGTTTGCTTGTTTATGGATATATTTTGATCAAACTTGGCAAATTTATTTATTTTATAGTAAGCTATCAATATTTTACTAAAACACACTACTTTATTAGTTTCCTTGTAGCAGCAAACCTAGGTACTCGTTAAACCTAATGTTATTTAAATATAGATCAATTGAAAATCAATTCGGCCAAATGGAAATTCGCTTAGACGGCAGGTTTGCTGCGGCGGGGGTATTTATTAATTTCTAAATCATTTTTACTTTGTATCCATTTGTTTTTGCAATTCTTTTTATAGGTACAAACTCTATTAGGTCAAAAAGCTAAAAAGATACAAAATGAAAATTCAAATAAAACCCCATTTTATCCCAAAGTTCAAAATTTAACATGTATTGTATTTGAAAAAGGTGAAACAGAAATGTTATCAAAAGCACTAAAATACAACATTAACGTGGACTTCCAACATAAGGTTATAAAAGATGAAATGCTAGATCTAGAAGTTGCAATAAGAAAACAAAAGACAGACATACAAGAGTCAATTAGACATAATTTTTTTACACGAATTAGACAAAAATAGAATAGAAACTAAAATCAAAGGTATAATAAAGAAGTCTAGAAAAGACTTGAAATACTGTAACATCAATATCAAATAAACTCAAAGATAACAACGCAATAATAACCAAAGCTGATAAGGGAAATACAACTGTTATAATAAACATAGACGACTATAACGAAAAGGTAGAAAACTTGAATTATTGAAGACAATAATTACAGAGAACTCTCTAAAGATCCCACACTAGAATACAGTAAAGAAATTAATAGTACAATATCTAAATTTAAAACTTTAAGTAAATGTGAAATGATACAACTAAAGATGATAAATCCAATAATACCAAAATTTAGAGGACAGCCTAAAACACTTAAAACAAATGTACCAATACGTCCTGTTGTTAACTACCAGAATGCCCCAGCATACAATGTATGTAAGTACCTAAATAATAAGCTAAAACATAAGATAAACTTTGAATCTGGATAAAGTATCAACAATACATATGAATTAATCGAAAAAATTAAGGATGAATTAATACCTGAAAATGCAATTTTCATCTCATTTGATGTAACTAATATGTATTCAAATATTCCTACAAAGATACCCTTCAAATTCTTCAAGAAACTTTAAACAAAAATTAACAGGTTTATAAAAATGAGTTAAATGATCTGATGAAACTATCTAGAGTAGCAATCAATCAAAGCTATTTTGAATTCAATGGCAAAATTTTCAAACAATTAGAAGGATTGGCTATGGGTTCTCCACTTTCTGGTATTCTAGCAAACATATATATATGCAACATCTAGAATCATCAAAAATCATAAACGACGACAATCCGTTTAAAAAAGAAATAATCTATTGGTATCGATTATGTGGATGATATATTATGTTTATACAACGGCAATAAAGACTCATATCAAGATTTTTTGAAATATTTAAATTCTATCCCCCCAACAATTAAATTTATGATGGAGACTCAAGAAAAGAAGATAAATTTCTTTGATATAACAATTACTAAAGAAAACTATTGTCATAATTTCAGTATATATAGGAAACCCACCCAGAATGACCTAATCATTCCATTTGAGTCAAACCATCCTTGGCAACACAAAATTTCTACGTTCAAATCAATGGTATTTAGACTACTTTTAAACATACCAAAGTCTAAAGACAACTTTGAAAAAGAAAAGAAAACTATAAAAAAAATTGCAGAAACATATAGATACAAAGTAAAAATGATTGAAAAATTAATAAAAAATGAAAAACAGAAAAGAATGAAAGTAGAACAAGAAAATGAAAAGAAAGAATTTATATGTATTCCATTCAGCTCATCCTAAACAAAACCTTAAGAAAAACATTACCGAACTCAAAATTTAATCTAAGTTTTAAAACAAGGAATAACGCTTTTAACATTAACTAGTGTACATGTTGCTCGAAATCGAGCAATTGCAGAGAAGTACAGGAGTTACGTATAAACAAATGACTTGTTTAAAAACTAATAACAGTCATAATTTCCGATGATTTTAAAAGAGTCAACCTAATGTTACCATACCTAAGTTATTTAGCCAATTTGTAGACAATAAGGTGTAGGCTACTTTAAACTCTACAGAACAGAGTTATGCAAAAACTGTCAGAACTCTGAAATTGTATTATTTATCATAGGCTTACTCATATGTCAAATCCTCTCTATTGCAAACATTTCTTACCTCTGGTCCTTCGAACTAATTCTCATTAAACCCTTTCTCATTTCTATTCCCCTTTCTCAATAATTCCCTAATCTCTACAAATCATTCAATAAGGACTTTATAACCCTTTTACTTAAAATAAAAATTCAATGATAATAACTTGTATATCATTAAACACAAACCAACATCCAAAACTATACACATTTTTAATACAACATAGATAATTTACACATTGACTGTTTACAATTAACATATGTTCTTCTTCTCACTTTTAATTTTTGCTTTGCAACGGGAAAATTCTGTTTCATAACCATTGGAATAAATTTATATATCATATATAATAAATAATCTATCTTAAAGTTTAAGATTAAATAAACCTACCACATAGCTGTTTTATTTTTTTGGATCAGCTGTCCGAAATTGTGAAATAGGCAATTGACATTTGACAGTTCTGGTTGTTTACAATTAAATGTCAAAGCAAATGTAAACATTGTGAATTTTCTAATGCTTCCATGGAGACCAATTATTAATATTTAATTTCTGACAACAGCTGGAGTTTCAAAACAATGTTTGTTTCCCATGTTAATCTTATGGAAAAATACAAAACTCTAAAGGGCCCCAGGGCCTCACCCTCTAATTATTTCCCAAAAAAGAAAGTTTCCTGCACAACTTCACGTTACGCTCTTTCCAATGACACCAAAAACATGCCAATCGGTTCAGTAGTTTCGGAGGAGTAATTGTCACAAAAATCCTGCTTGCGTATTAAATAAGTAATAGATTCAGCTAACTGCGATGGATAGAGTGAAGTCATTAAATCTTAGTTAAATGAAGGGAAGATAAGCAATAATAAGTATGACGATTGTGTTCCCTAAAAAACTTGATTGATGAATTCGTTTAACACAATATTTCCTACCTTTTTATCGGCTTTAGGTTGCCCAAAAGGTTTTTTAGGAGTCTTATAATTAATCCACTTGCTAGGAGGGTCCTCGTGTGCATTTTATGTATAGAAAAACACCCTAAGTGATCATGTAGGTACTATGTGCGTTATCATTTTTCATGTGGGTGCCAGCTTGGCAGAGTGGGCATAACCTCAGAATCCGCCATTTTAAAAATGGCGGCGGCATTTATTACATGAAACTCATCGGGAGCTTATATCTCGAAAACGGTAACATATAGCGAGTTACTTTTATTACAAACATGTTGCTTACACAACAAGGAACAACTTTTGTATTTACGAAAATGCCCTAAATATAACTATTTAGGAGTAGTTGAGCAATTTATGCTAATTTAACCTATACATTTTTACCCTGTTTGGCAAAAAAATTCTAATATCTTTAATAAACTGTTATTTTTAATTCGGCACT